GCCCCAGCTCAAAAAGGTTGCCTACCCCTGGTGTAAACTGTTTCTTATGTATACTCCCTAATAGACGGGAAATCTGTTTTCAGAGAGGAAGATGAACTGTCAAGGTTTAAGCCAGGTATAAAGCCATAGTTTTATCTTCCAGGAATAAAGCCATAATAGTCTTATCCTCCATCTCACTCACTTATCTTTCTTTTTCCAGTCAGCCTTCTGGTGAAGTGCCACAGAGAATGCAACTGACGGTTGTCTAATGGGGACCCTTCTGTTCTTCTTCATGGTGAAACTGAATTCACTCTTTTGACAACGGCTAAAGGACGATGGGGTCCAATACTCTCGGGAAAGCTGCAACACTGGATGAGCTGTTAACCACCTGCATCAAAATGTTTGGTATGAGCTTTCAATTTTCCCCCTACATCCTTCTTCACTGGTTTTTGTTTTTTATTGTACAATATGTTTTGGCTAGTATTAATACACCTTGTGACATTCAGAGCTTGGAAATTCTCCTTTAAAAAATATGTTAACTGCCAGAATTCCAGAGTGCATTATTGCTCTGTAGTCTAAAAAGGTAGCAAAGGACATTTGGTGTGTGATGTGTGGTTGTGGAGCAAAGGCCACCTTGAAAGAAATAAAGAAAATAAAGCCTATTACAGGCACTCCAAGACAGTAAAGTCTTAATATGCTCTGCAATATTTGAGAGAGAATTAGAAGGCAAAGGGAAGAAAGGCAGTCATCTCTGCAAATATGAGCCTACATTAAAGGGGAGGGGGAAACAGGGAGATGGAGAAAAACATTAAAATGACCCTAGTTATCTCTCTCTCTCTACCACCATTGCCCACTGCATGCACCTGTATCAGCTACTTTAGTTAAGCACACTTAACTCAGCCTGTCCAAACCTGATGGAATGTCATTCAACCACACTCCAGTCACTGGCAGAATGAATCTCCTCCCCATGAAGCTGATGCTTGGTGAAGTAGGTTTTGGGGGGGAGTTGCAATCATGGCAACAGTGTCAAAATTGTAGTGATCTTGAATACGAAAGAGTTACAAATTAGTAAATCTAGGTAACTGTTTTGTATTCACGATCACTACTTAGGGCCTTTACAGACTGCCAGAA